AGCAGACCTGCAAAAATGCTCAACCCTTCATCATATCTGAGAGGGCACTCCCAACGAAGCCTTTCGAAATATTCAGCTTTCTTTTCCCCCGATAATACCTCTGCAAACAAGCTATACTAGAGCAAGAATATCTCATATCATCAGGGTTAAAAGCAAGAGTATCCCATATCATGCTTTTTCCCTGTCTTTTCTTTTGGCCTTGTTTTTACCTGCAAGACAAGGAGAAAGAGAGCAATCAGTCAGCACTTGGAATCAAGCTTCCAGCCAGGAACTGACTGCCTGGAACCCCTTACCTGATTACTTACCTGGCATTGCTCTCGAGTACTCATCTTCAACATCTTATGTTTCCAGGGAAGATTCCGCATCTGCTTGAGGAACATATAGGGCAAGTGCGAAGGATACAAGGAAGCATGTGGAGACAAGCGTAACAGCACACGTGCCGATACATTCATTACTCTGTCAAAAGCAAAAGTATCCCATATCAGCAGGGTGGAACGTACTCTAGATTTGATGGACTTGTTTTGACCCTCAAATTCTTCAGTCGGCCTTATACTCTGGAGGAAACCAGAAAACCCTCCAGCTCAGTTCAAGAATAAGCCTGTGGAAAGTTACTTCTTCAAAAGCAAAAGTATCTCATATCATCTCTTCTCATTTTTCTTCTCTTTATCCTTCATGCTGCTGCAAGATGGGGAGAAGGTGAACAATCAGTCGGAGCTCTGATTGCTTACCTTGTATGTCACCTCTTTCAGCAGACCCCCTAGCTCGGCGACTTGGGGGACTCCTACTACATGGTTTGTATCGCGCTTGACCAAGCCTGAAACTACAAGTAAGCTTCAAGTGAAATTGATCCATTACCTTGTGCATCTCCACCAGTTAAAGATACCACCCCTGGATGGAGGAAGAGTACTTCCAGAGAAGATGCCACATCTACCTATGAGACAGATAAGGCAAGTCAAGACGACACCACACTCCGATACTTAGAAGTTTCGTGATTACGAGATCATTCTCCCACAATATTTCCTAATGTCATTTGTACTAAATCATTCACTTGTACTCACTAAATGAGAGCTTGAACATATGTACTTGTGTAAACCCTTCACAATTAATGAGAACTCTTCTATTCCGTGGACGTAGCCAATCTGGGTGAACCACGTACATCTTGTGTTTGCTTTCCTATCTCTATCCATTTATATACTTATCCACACTAATGACCGGAGCAATCTAGCGAAGATCACAAAAAGCGATCGTTTTCGCTACCTAGGATCTATCTTGCAAGAGAACGGAGAATTAGATGGAGATCTCAACCATAGAATACGAGCTGGATGGAAAGAGTGCATCCGGCGTGTTGTGTGACCGTCGTAGGCCACTGAAGCTCAAGGGAAAATTTTTATAGGACGGCAATAAGGCTAGCGATGTTGTATGGCACAGAATGTTGGGTGGTGAAGCATCAACACGTACACACAAAATGGGTGTAGCGGAGATGAGGATGCTTCGTGGGATGTGTGGGCACACGAGAAAGGATAAGATTGGGAATGAGGATATCCGAGGTAAAGTAGGAGTAGCCGAAATTGTAGGAAATATGAGAGAAAATCGGCTCCGGTGATTTTGAACATGTGCAAAGAAGGCCGACTGACGCTCCGGTTCGAAGATGTGACTACGGGACAGAGGTTCAGGGCCGAAGGGGTAGAGGAAGACCTAGGACAACTTTGGAAGAGACTCTAAGAAAAGACTTAGAGTACTTGGATCTAACGGAGGACATGACACAAAACCGAGCGCAATGGCGTTCTAGGATTCATATAGCCGACCCCACTTAGTGGGAAAAGGCTTTGTTGTTGTTGTTGTTGTAAACTTATTTGATTCAATAAATTCGACAATTGCAATTTATGATGATATGTATAAAGTAAAAAGAGGTATATGAATAACACATCACTTGTTCTTTTGTTTTTATTTGTACACGGAAGGAGACAAAAGCTTGACTTTCCTTCTGATGGGACAATTAATACGTACTAGGACTACCCTCACAAAATCATAACCACCTTGAGGTTCCTTCTAATCAAGGTATAAAATATCGATGATATTGGAAATATCAGTAATAAAAAAACACGGAAATTTCGATAGAAATATCGGGATATTATCGATATCGATAAAAATTGAATAAAACCCACATAAATTGTAAGAAAAACTTGGAATTTTTTATTGAAACTTTGCAGGATGTTTATTTAGTCAATTATCTATTAGTTTATCACAAAAAATTAGAAGGAAATGCATTGCATGATGAATTTAACTGATTTAAGTTGATTATATAGCGAGTTGACAAATATTGTGAGTGTAGAAAATATGTAGTAATTAATGAAAGAAGTTTTAATACACCATAATCATTTATATATAATGAATTAGCACAATATTTTACACTTTATACATTGCATGGTAAGATACATGAGCGACTTAGTACCACATAGAGTTCCTAAAAGGTCTAAAATATCGATGATATCGGAAATATCGGTAGTAAAAAAATATGGAAATTGCGATGAAAATATCGAGATAATATCTATATTTTAGACCTTGCTTCTAATGGATGAGAAATGTTTTGGTGCTTTCTAAAGCAGGTCAACCAAACAAAAGTTTCTAACTATTTTTCACCATTTTTTTTTTTGTAAAACGATAATGTTAATGATTTGAATAGTTAGTTGTTTCAAAATGAAGAAAATCGGTATTATTAAGTACTAGCATTTATCTACATACTTTGTGTATATGAACACATTTTTTAGAAAATGAGAAGGAGAGAGGAAGAGAGAGAAAACGTGGGAGAGTGGGAGGTTTTTATTTTTAATTTTTTTTAATTTTAAATATTAGAGATATTTTAACATCACTTTTAGGTGATGTTTCAATAAAAAACAATAAAATTTAGACTTATGAAGTTACATTATTGCCCATCATTTTTTTGTGTGATAGAAGACTAAATTATCTTTTCACCATCTTTTGGTTGACAATGAAGGTTTCATTAATTAGTAGAGATTATTATTATATTTTTTTTAAGGCATAATAAGAATTGTGGTTGAGAAAGTCGTTTGACCGTATGCAAGTTTGTGGGATGGTGGTACATATTATATCTAGGTAATGCTAGTGAGACTAAATTTACAAACTAAATGATGCATTAAGAAATAAAAACGTTAATCAACACTTAAATAATAATCTAGTTATAAACTTTTATATCATTTAATTTATAAAATTTAGTCTAGAAATTGAATCTCATAAATATTACCCATCATATCTCAGCGGCTGAGTGAGTAGAGCATTTGGTTGGTCTTAGTCACATTAATGTCGCATACTCTTTTACGTACTTTGCTAGCTGTCAGATTGGTATGGATTTCTTCTAGATGGTCCAGTTGCCGGCTTAAAATATGAAGTACATACTCTTTTACATATTTCGGTGGTGGTCCCATTGCTCAAATTTGCATCTTTCTATTAAAAATGCTTTGATTTTTGAAAATAAATAAATAATAATGTGTGAAATAAGCTTGTGATATGTCTCGACCCTGGAATGTGGTTGCCTTCCTCGCCCTAAACTTTCTTCAACCAAAAAAAAAAAAAAAAGTGTAAAAGAAAATAGAGTGTGGATCTTATTTTCCTTGCAGCATATAATGTGTGCTAAAGGCAATCAAATTTATTTTGTGCATGATTGTGCTGAAATTTGCAGCTCCCACGACATTATTCAATAGCCCAATTATTCAACCGTTAACCCAAGCCTATACTCTATATTACGAATTTGTGGCCCAATATCCAAGAGTCACACTAGCTGGAGAATTGCTGGAACCAAAGACCGGTGGGTTGGAATGGGCTACCGGTCGGATGGGGACCTCGGGCGATCGGTAGGTTTGGGGTTTCTTATGAATGTGCAATACTTTGACAAACAATAGGGTAAGTCGGGCTTCATTGTACCACAAGTCTTATTCACATATCCTCTTTACACACTACATGTGACATGTGAGGGCGAATAAAGTCTGATAGATAGCATAGTTACTGCATGCCTTGGAGTCTTTCATCATCTTCACAATCATACCCACATGTATTCATAAACTCTCTCTAGCACTCTTTGTTTCAAGTTCTTTCAAGGTCTTCCCTTCAGAAAAATTATTCTGTGCGGCTTGGCGAGCTCTCCCATACTCTCCAATACTGGTCGAGTCAGTGCTTGGAGAGACCCCACTGTTGAGAGTATGAATCACACATCGGAGAAAGAATGAACATTGCATCTGCTTATAAATAATTTGGTTACTTCCTATATTGCCAATGAGTTTTACAGTGGAATGTCAACTTTCTTCATGGTATCAGAGTAGGTTGTCCCATATGTGAAGCTCATCGACCACACGTGCTCCACGACCGATTTGTCTTTTTTACGTGCTAGGCTTGAGAATTCGCCATATGTGACGGGGCATATTGACAATATCAATCTCCCATAAGAAAGAGTTACCTTGCATTTGCTTATAAGTAATTTATTCCCCATATTATCAATTGGTTTTATGATAGAATCTCAACTTTCTTCACCCACTCCTTATGCGTGTGTTGCTATTTATAGCCGCCGGACGGCACAAGTTTTCTTCGTTTGAATTAGAAATCAAATCTTGTTAACGCATGTTTTTCCTTGCATAATCTTGATGTTAGGTAGTCTCTATCATCTTCCAAATCGTAATGTTTAGCTGGGAGTATGCGCTAAATCTGAAGAAATATTAATGTAATTTATCTTAAGATTGGGTTAACCAACCGATTAACTTTTAAGTTAGGGACATCCTTCTGTGTACTTATCAACTGGAACATTAGTTTTATTTTGTTGATTTGTTTGAAAAGTCAAAAGTAGAGTTAATTGGTGTGAATGTAAAATTAGTTTCTGCCTTTGTTTCATGCAGGATGCAGACAGAAAAAATGGTATAATTCGAGGTTCACTTATTTATGCTGAATGACTATTTTCATGAAATACTAGTGAAGATCGCATTCTTTTAAGAAAATCACATAAACATCCTTTCCTTGCATTGATTTTGCTTTTCAAATCTTAAATCTCTCACAAAATTTAACATCTTCAATTAATAATTATGATACAATCACTAAGCAGTTGATCGATATTCCGGCCGTCGATGGATATGAAAGATCTTCATAGCTCTAGCACCACAACTGTTCAAGCAAAATCATAATTCCAGGGTTAATTAGTTGAATATATAGAGTATTAGCAATATAAATTTCAAGTTATTAACAAAAAAGAAATGATTAGGCAGAAACTATAGGAGGAAGCATGTGTTACATTCTGAGTCTGAGGTGATCCAGTTCCCTTTCTTGGGTTCCAAGTGATCCGGGTCTTGAAACTTTGTAGAATTCAAAGATGGAAGGCTTATGATTTGATCATTCTTGAGTGAAGATGCTGTTGAAAGCGCTGTATAGGCAGAGGAAGTGGTGGAGTTGCTCTCCAAATCCCATCTGAAGCTGATCTTCGGCGAGTCGTTGCTTGGTTGATCATCATCTGGTACTGCTTTCAGAGTTCCCCGGTTTCGAAATTGCTTAACCTGGATGGAACAACACAAGTTAAGTCTCAACCATAAACGATATCAATCATAGATCGGCATATGTTACTTTTAAGACTCAACGAGCACGTTCTGAGAAACCTGGCGTTAAGCAAGCTATTTCGGCATGATTTAGGACCAGTTAAAATATGTAACTTTGATTTCCACCTGGAGGTAACAAACATTCACTCTAGTTGCAATGTGTGGTGGTAAGTTTGAACATTAATGGCTAGAGAAGGTCACAACAGCAACATATGGCTGCATAACTATTACGGTTGTGGACCTGCTTCTCTCATATTATATATCAATAGGTCCATGCAGTACAAAATATAAGAAAAATAAAAAACTAAAACTAAAAACTAAATGGTTATCAATGAATTTTAACTGAACAAAAATTTAGATTTGTACCTTTCGAGCGATGAATTTTCCACCCTTGTCTGATTTTGCAGCAGCAGCCCATCTCAGAAGCTCCTTCATTCTTGAAAGGGTTCTGGTTTTGTCCCCTTTAAGCTGTTCTTTCTTCTCCGGTAAGCCACATTGTTCGTTTGTTCTCGTCGAGGTTGATAACGTTGAATCATTCACCGGTAAAACCTTGTTGCTTACATTCACCGAATCCGCCTTGGTGCTACTAATTCCCAGACCTCTTGCAATATCTTCTTTCTTCATGATCTTCATAGATTGAATCCAATGCTGCCTTCCCTGCCTTCTGTTTATGCTATTAAGTCTCTTTAGCTGAAGAGTGCTATTAAAGCAAGCCGTTGCGACATCTTTTCGACATAGAAAGGTAAACGGCTTGAACTTCTTGTTACCCGATTTGCTTTCTTCAACTCCTTTTGATGATTTTCGATAAACACTGGCGCTACCGCGCCTAAAGACGATTATGTAATTTGGTTTAGCTTCTTGATCTGAAAATGAAGATAGAAAGTTCATAAATTGGTTAGTAAAACAAAGTCCTAATGTTAAAGGTCAAAACTCTCTTTCATAGCTAGAAAACACTTAAAACACCGTTTCGATCAAAGAAACAAAACATAAACCCAACTGTTATTCCAACCAACTATTATCTTAAAACATTTCTCACTAAAATTAACAATTATCAGTGAAATGCACCGAATAAGTAAATCGAGTTTGATCTCTTACCATTAGTTGTTGCGTTCTTGTTGGAAGAACTAGAAATCTCCTCCCTTTCTTGTCCAACTTTAGCTCCAAATAGCCATTGAAGAAGCTGCTATGTTTATAAGAGAGATCAGTTTTGATCCAAAAATGCTATGTCTTTGCGTTGACATATACAAATATTTACACTCTTTTTACCTGCATGGTTATCGCTTGTATTTGGATCCTCCTTTATATAATGCTTGTGAGTTGTGAGGAGTGACCAGTGAGAAGTAGATGGAGGAGTGAGAAAGTTGATGACTGTTTTCTGGTCAAATGGACAGCACAGAGAGATCTGCCTATGCTGTCTGCATGCTCAAGATTCCTGTCTAGGGTTTGGGACCTTTTGGAGAAGAAGACAAATGATATTAGAAGTGAATCTGCATAAAAAATAATAATATTGAGAGACAACTAAGCAATGAGTGGGGGAAGGATTGGATCAATGGCTTGGGATTCTTTTGTAACATGGGGGAAAAATATATATAAGATGATCATGTGGTGGTTAAGTAAAGGATTTAATTTAATTAAGAACCCAAATGTGTTTAGCTTTGGTGGCTTTTGTTTTAGCCATACACTTGTTTGTCCATGGTTCATCACTCCCATTTGGTCCCCCTTTATATATTACCCCCACAAAGTTACTTAGTCTAAGATTTACACTTGTGTTAATCTACGGAAAAGAGAATTCGAAGAAGAGAGGACGAGTGTATTGCCCTGACAAACTGGTGGAATCAACACCTGTAAATAATAATCTACTCTACTAAACTCAGTTTTGCGAGCGAGGGGTAAAAATGAAGCTCTAACAAATAGTTGGCATAGAAGACCAATTATTGCAAGGTTTATTAAGATAACAATTTGTCCTTGCAACTTGACTTGCAGGCAGGAGGACACAAAAATGGATTATATATTCACATTAATATTAAAGACTAGAATTAGATCAAACAAAAGAAAGATGGGGTGGAGAATTGGGAAAATCATGTTCCCTAACACATTAGAAATGCGTTAAAAAAATATGTGACAAATTAAGGAAGAAAAGGGTCATCACCGTCTTCCAGATTCCATAACATTTTCAGTATTTTGGCCGGTTGGGTATGGCTGCATTTCCAGGCAACTCTCCATCTATTTCCGAACTACACATACATCTACATTTCGAGGTAACCTTCGTTGACGAACGGTTTTCGATTTTGATGAATGTTTACGAGAAGGAAGGTTCGGATACTAGAATTACATCGTTGAAGTCAATGAAAATGAATAATTAGCGTTGTGCTGACTTACTAACTGATTAGAGCTAAATGATTAAGGCTAACACCGTTTATCTATACGCACACATAATTGTTCCTATGTGTAAAATTAAATTAATATTGAATTTACATGTTGCTTGAGTTGAGCATGTGGGAAGGAGATATTTTGGGGCTGTGTCAGTTGTACTAACTTGGTGCTTGCAAGAACTTGGTGTGCTTCACATGGAGGTGAGTTGAGAACATATGCAGATATGCTCTCATAACTATTTTTTAATTACTTTTAAGTAAAAACTAAGTTTGGGGATTCTTTCAGGTAATTAGCTGTATATTCTCCACTCTATTTCTCACATCACGTGAATGGTTGCGTAATGTGCAAGGTGAGGAGAGTGGAATGAGAGCGGAATTATATAACCGGGTATACTCTAGATTTTGCCCCAAACTAGAGGCCTAGAGGCCTTGCTTGTGGAGATTTCGTCTGTGTCTGAGCTTCTCTGCCCTTTCATTTTCATTGGGACTTGATGGGAAAACGTTAGCTCCCCTAAACTTGTGGCAGCAACTGCATCTGCAACTCACAGTAATCTCCACCATTGAAGCAAATAAAATCAGTGTGGGAATTACATTGTACACGACATTCTTGAGGAAAAATCGGGCCAAGGAAGAGTGATGTGGCACAAGCTCCTCTTAACTTTAGATCTTAGTATTTGGTTCCCCAAGAAATGCATAGTGCTGGGAAGGAATAAGTTGCTCTCAACAACCCTGTCACTGTTTTCTCATTCATATCATATTCTGCTTGCCTCTCTTGGTTGTAACATCATCCACGTTCTCTCACAAGCTTTCACAACGCTCAGCAACACGAACGCGAGAAAGTTTTCGAGTGAGAGTTTTGACGGGGTCATTCTTCACCTTGGACGACATTCTGTAGAATTGGCCGCATTCGGGGTGATTTAGTTCCCCAGTGGGCAATCTTTGAATGAGAATCGAAAGCTGAATACAACGTCGAAACAAATGAATTGAAAGTTTCCATCCTTTATACAAACTGGAATTTCGTTGATGCATATGCTATTTACATTTCAATACAAACAATGTCTAATGTTATTTATAAACACGCATAGAGTAGAACTGATATCAACTTCATAACCATATCACGCATGTACAGGATAGCTTTGGCCTCGTGTTGACCAGAAGGTGAATGAGTTATGGCTCAACTTCTGTTGGCTGCCACTTCCTGTTTGAAAAAAAGGATTCGGGCTGCTAGACGTGAACCAGAGGCTCATTCCTCCCACCGGTACAGAGAACACGGGCTTGAGAGAATCCCCTTCAAATTAGCACCGCCATTGTCCCAGAACGATCAGCTTGATCTTTTTCAAGACTCTTCTAAGTTCCAACAAGCTGATGCGATTCTTAAACCGCAGTTCTTGGAGCAGGCGGTCTCATCTGACGGATTTTCTGCAGTTACTGGAACAACAATTGCCAAAGACACCAATGGGGTCAACTAAAGGCAATCTGATATACAAATCCAGTATACATCAATTTTGAGTAAATTGTACAAATGGTCCCTCAACTTTAATCAAATTGGAGCAATGGTCCCTCAACTAAAAATCCATTACCATTGGTCCCTCAACTTATCAAAATGTGTAGCTATAGTCCTTTTCATCAATTTTGTCAAAATTTTGTCAAAATAAGCTATGTTGGAATGACCATTTATATAATTAGGGTCCCTTAACTCATCAAAGTGTATAATTATGGTTCTTTTCGTCAACTATGTCAAAAAATTTGTCAAAACGAGTTATATTGGAATGACCATTGCTACAATTGGATTAAAGTTAAAGGACCATTTCTCCACTTGAATTAAAGTTCAGGGACCGATGGTAATGGATTTTTAGTTGAGGGACCATAGCTGCACGTTTTGATAAGTTGAGGGACCAAAGGTAATGGATTTTTAGTTGAGGGACTATTGCTCCAATTTGATTAAAGTTGAGGGACCATTTGTACAATTTACTCCATCAATTTTCGGTCAAGGAACTGTAAATTTTACCAGATAAAAAGGGCACTTCTCATGGTCGATCCTCATCGGACCTTGAGCGTGTCAAACGTCGACGCCTTCTGGGGATTGGAGACAAATCTCTGTGATTAGTCATGGGCATGTTGTCATCATCATCGTCCTCATCATTGTCATCATCATCATCATCATCATCTTGAAGTCCCAACAAATTCTCACCCCAAAGAAACCGGCGTTCATTTAAAGCACCTGCTGACCGCCTATGTCTTGTCCAAACCCTTGATCGAGCCCTTGGTTCTCCAGCACGGTCAGCTGAGCCAATCATCTGAAACAAAAACAGGGTAGTCCACCAAGGCCCATTAGCTTCACCTGCACCACTTTCCCCTCCACCTGGTAGCCTATCTCCATTTTCAATAACATAGTCCCCAACAACAACAGCACCAGGCATGGCTGAATGAATAGCACTCACAACATCACCAAATTCTCTCTGGTGCTCAAGGTGTCGCCAGGCTCGTTCTCTAGATGGGTCAATATCAGAGGGTCTGGTGGTTGGGTGAACTCTCCTGGCATGCCGGCGCAACTCCTGGTAGTTACCAGAAAATGAGCATGATTCCCGAGAGCAACTTCGCTTCTTCAGGTTAAGATATTTTCTGGTATCTTCCACAACCTCCCATCCAAGAATGGCTCCTCGGCACATAGGGCATTTCAAGCTCAATTGTGACTCCGGTGAATTTTCCCCATCCAAATCATCATGTTCATCCCTTTCCTGAAATGACTCAGAATCAACCACTTCCATAACACCTTCTGGTTGTGCTTCAAAAGGCCTATTTAAATCTTGAATAACATGTTGCTGTGGAGGTCCAGGTAAATTAACAGATAATACAGAATTGCTTTCAATCAGGTTGTCACTTTCATTAGCTTCATTTGAGTCTGTTCTCAGAGGGATGTTCAGATCAGAAATACGAGGACCGTAACGGTTTATAGGGAAAGGACTGGGTAGAGTTGGACTGTTCATAGTATTTTCTCTCATCTTTTTAAAACGGTCCAAACAATTTGAATGCCTGTAACTTGTATCACATATATAAGATCTGCAACCCTTATCATGTGAGCTGCAAAGCAGGAGAACGGCATTATGCGGATGGTCCATGCAGATAGGGCATGAAACGGCATCCAGTTCTTTATTAAGAGCACGAATATCTGAATCAGTATCTAATCTTCGTTTCACACCAGCCATCTTGCAAACACTGTTCGATTTACTAAGCAAGTTAAAGTTATTACTACATAAGTACTATCAGGCATAATCAATGTTCATCAATTAGATAAGCAGGGGGAAAACACTACGGTCATGTTGTATACAGCAGCAATTTATTCTCTTATCACATAAAAACAATAGACGAATCGATGTTGAATGCGAAGGGTACAGATGTTTTATGGTACATGTTTCTGTATAATGTTTCACATTATCCCTTCCCCATCCAATTCACATAAAAATATGTTTTCAAATCAAGAGTAAGAATCAACTTTTGAACCACTGCCAATTTCAATTTGACTAGTGGGAATATAAGAACCTACCCAAAATCTAGGTCTATAACAACGTACAAAAGAAAGTTCAATCGGGTTCCAAGTTTCTTAAAGAATGCAATCAGTCTAATACAAAAGAAGAACAGTCAGCTACTATGAAGGGTTTATCAAATTATTACTGCCAAAACTGCAATTCCCTTGTTCCCAAGAAACTTAACATTACGTGCAATCAGAATAATTACCTATCCAAACAAACACCCCTAATATAACACACGTATGATTTGAAATATATCAGATATATAAAGGATCATTGAACTACATATACACTTACCAAAAGGCAAAGCTCTAAATAAATTCCCTACTTGGGCTTCTGATCTCTACTGCTTTACCAACTGAAAAATACCGAATCTTTACTTGACTCTAACAGAAATCAGATGCAAGCACTTGTCTCTAACAGAAATCAGAATGCAACCACTCTTACAAATGCTCCAAAATGTGATAAAAACAATGCAGCGACAGGACAACGGCACAGAGCTTCAAGGAATTGAATTCTTGATTTATTATAACGACGTACGTCTCAGGCCACAAGGTCACAAATGAGGCTGAGACCTGCAGTTATACGACAAGACAGAAGCGATGTCATGTACATAACACCTTAGTTCAATCATGGCATTATTCAGCAACAGATAGAAGCAATATTAGTAGAAACATCATGTATACATGTATCAGACCACATGACCTTTGAACTGAAATTTCAAAGACCATGAAAAAATCGGTGAGATTGGAGATATATTTTTGCACCGATTCTATTGCTGTTCATAGATTCTAAAATTGCTCACACCTTCTGTTTAGAGATTCTAAAAGTTTTTTATATCCATCCGCCCCCTTTCATATGCACAATATTATACAAAGTTAGTGAAATTCAAAGATCAAGCAATAATTACTAAAAAAAAAATCAGAGCAAATTAAGCATTTTTAAACAGAAATTGAGCATTGCAACGGGTAGGGATCAAAATGGTCATTAAAAGATTACAAAAATCCAATCTTTACCAGATAAAAATCAGCATCTAAACCTAAACCCCACAGATAAACCCAAAATTGCATCCAAACCCTAATCCTAAATTTAGCACACTTGAGATTCCAATCATCAAAGGATTCAATAAACCAAACAAAAGGTATCAAATTCAGGTCCGAAAAAACACAAAAATCCATCAACCACCCAATTCAACAAGGATCCAACTAGATCAAACCCAAAAAATGATCAGATCAACATAAATTAAATAACTGAAAATTCCAAAAAATGAGACGCGCAAAGAAAATGAGGATTTACAAAGATTAATGATTTGATTTCGTCGTCCTTCAATTTGGGGCTGTGGGTTGAGAGAGAGAGAGAGAGAGAGAGAGAGAGAGAGAGAGAGACTGCGTGAAGGAATTGCTTGAGATTTTGGATCGAAATTTGATGAGGAAACGGCACATGAAATTAGGGTTTTTATAATGCGTTTGTTGGAAGATGGAGGGTAAGCACTAATGTTGCAACCTCCCCATGGATGGAGCGGTCTAGGCTACTTCCACTTCCTGTTGTTGACACGTGGCGGCAATCGGGAGGATGTGGGACCCACTGGCAGGTCCATTCCGTCTTGCGTTTTGATCCTCCATCTAGAAACGATTTTGCATTGATTATACGTTTAATTATAGTCTTTGAACACCAATAATATTCGATTAAATGGATTGTGTTTAAAGAATGGTTTGTGTAATTTAGTCCATGCAAGCAACTTAAAATGTGTACATTGACCAAAAAACAATGGAACCTAATTATAATTTTATTCATATCTCGAGACGTATAAACATATTGAGAATTCATTGTTTAAATGATAACTTATATCTATAAAATACAAGAAGAGCTAAAACCTAAATAATGACACCGCTAATTACTTGTTTGTTCTGTGGGTGGTAATCTTGCTGCTCACTCGGTTGCTTCATTTGCTGCTTGCATGGTGGCTCTTATTTATAGGAAGTTATTGTCCTGATTTTCTGTTTAATATTCTTGCTAAAGATGTAAACATTGCTATTAAAATTTAATAAAATCTATCTTTTGACAATAACAAACAAATACGTTACGTCCCCTTCCATAATTACAACTAAATTTGTATCATGAAAAACTTCTTCATGATATCTCCTTCATCTTCAACTAGGTTTCTTTATTTGTTGTGTTATGGAGACAATGTCAAATTCTAAAATATTTTGTTTAACATAATTAGCGTGTGACATAGGTTTGTTTGAGTACTAACCCTGGTGCACCAAAATACTTAAGCATAAATGTAGCGATTTCGAGAATAACATGTTACCACTCACCTTTTAATTCTTTGGCCAAATTTTAAAATAATAACAAATATATCAATCACATATTTGGATGAAGAAAAACAAATTTCCTATTAGATCAAATTAAACAATAATTTTATCGAATCTGTAAGTTTGATAATTATATGTGAGAGTCATATGATTCATGCTAGTTCCACCATCTTTTTCACATTTTGGACACTATTATTTGTTCACCCAATATGTAGGTTTAATATATTATTATATGTTGATCTGTGGAATCATTTTATTTTAATATAAGACAAATAGAAAGAAAATGAGCAAGAAATTCGTAGTTAAGTCGGTTAAGAATATATGTTTCTACATCTAAGGCTCTAGATTTGATAATAATATACTCTTAATTTTCTTCTAATTTTATATTTTCAATTTTTGGTTTGTATTGAGCTCTAAGAATTTTTTAAACGTGATAATTTACTTTGAACTATCAAATTTATCAATTTTTTTTGGTAATTTGTCTCACCTCAATGTCGAAACTTACCCTCAGTGGAACGAAAAAATTCACCAATTTTGACAATTGGTTAAAAAATGGAGAAGATTGCAACATCTTTAAAGATTAGCCTTGGGAAATTTCTTTCATGTAATCATAACAAAAAAGGGTATTAGAAAGATTTGCAAGTGAAAAGGTGTTGAATTTTTGCACGACAACGTGAATTCAAATTCTTTAATGACTAATCTAACATTTAATCTAACAAAATCTATAGTTAAAAAAAAACAAACAGTAAACTATATATATATATATATTATAATGTATTATAATACGTTGTATATCAACTCGTATTCCGAAAAAATCTATTCTTGTAAGTGGTAACCAAATTCAAATGTTGAAAAGAAAGAAAAGAAATATTAAAAAGTCGTCAAGGGTAGTTTGGACTTTGCCAATCACACTAACAAAGTCTCGAGTCCAAACTTCCGAACCCACTCTCTGACAGACCAAGATTGCCGCCAACTCGTTTGCTACCGCCTCACTCCGCTTCCAATGGCCGCCAACAATCCTTCGCAGCTACTCCCATCAGGTTTTGACCACTTCGTTCCCCTTTCTACTTTCCCGTATTTTCTCGAGAAAATTAAACGGAAAATTTGAGGTGTTTTCCTGGAAAATGCGCAGAGTTGATCGACCGGTGCATAGGCTCGAAGATATGGGTGATAATGAAGGGTGACAAGGAGCTCGTAGGGACTCTGAGGGGTTTCGATGTCTACGTCAACATGGTACTCGAAGACGTCACCGAATAGTATGAATTTCTCCTTTAATTCTGTTCTTATGAAACCCTAAAAATTTGGGGGATTTTTATCTCGATTTTTTTGGTACAACATTGAGTCTTTAGCTTTGTAAATGCTTTAAATGTGTGATTAATTGATGGGAAGATTAGAAAAAGGAGAAGGGAGTACAAAGTTATGAATTGGGTCTAATTTGGATATGGGATTTTAGTGAGATATATCATATCGCGGTAGAGCCCCTAGGGAACTATTCACCTTGGGAGTGGTCGGATGAGTGACTAAGTCCGAACAAAAAGACTTATTCATTTTTTGGACACATGGCTTTGAACCCACTTTTTGGTTTTTGATCTGAGCTTTGAACCCATCTTAAACAGCACTCATGCCTAAACAGCTGAAAATGCTTAGTCACGATCTAATAATAAGATACATTGCAAAATCTACTTTACACATCAGAAAGAAGAGCCGATAAACGATAGACCAAACATTACAAAGCTAATAACTCTTTTAATATTGATTAAAAGAGCAAAAAAATACAACGTACTGAACAAAGTTAAACATAGAAGATTAACTACTTAAAGTACCCTAGAAGGCTAGAACCCTCCCTAAACCCCATTTATCCCCTAAACTTAGATTAGTCTTCCTTCCATATCCACATTACTTAGATTACACAACACTAAACATACCATCCCCAAATGCACTGATACTAGAACAAGGCTACAAGTTCCATCCCTTCCTACACCAAATTGCCCATGTGCTGTCATTGATGCTGTCATTCCCCACAAAGCTTCACTTCACATAATGTGGCACCCATTTTTATTTTCATCACTGAACAACGTGAAGTAATCCGATGGCGGTGGTGAATAATACGGTGGTAATATGGTCAAACCCAATGAAGGTGGCGGTGCACTGGCTAAAAAGAAGATTGAAGGAATAGAAGAAATAGTGTAAGAAGGGGACAAGGAATGCGCTGTGGCAGAGACAATTTTTACTGGCTTGGAAAATCTGAATTTTCTTTGTTAGTATTTATGTTAGAAAATTGTTCATGGTAAGCAGTTGATTGGAAGTCCGAATTGAGCTCTTACAGATTATTGAACTCTAATAATCTGTTAGTACAATGCCAAGCACTCCAATACTCCAAATACTTGTATACTTTAATGTCGAAGTATGCAGGACAGCCTCTAGAGCTTTGAATCTTAGTTATATACAATGGGAATTAAGGTTTTTAATTTTGAAGGTTAATTTTGATCGGTGGTAAAGCGCATTGTGAATAGTCAAATACAACCTCGTTTGTATATTAACTTTACTGTATATCTTTATTTTCTTATGATTTTTTCTTATCTGGATGCCAAAATACTTGGATTTGGCTTTTATATGGAACAGTTGATACATCGATTTATACTAGATTGAGAAATCTGGCGAACTCATGGAATTGCTTAAGCTTATAGGGCATTTCTTAATTAGACATTATGTTGAATACAAGTTGTTTTCATAAGGTAGATAGAGTTCTAATGCAAAGCTTCTATAGCAACAGTGGTTTTACATGGGCACTTTACGTGATGTGTAAAATTGCAACTAAAAATGTAATATTTGAAGAAACTAAGCAATAAAAAGGCAGACTTATTCCTCCTCCAGCCTCCTGTTTTCTGCGCATTCTACCTTTTGCATGTCGCTTATTTTTCATTGGTCATATCAAACGTACTGTAATGTTTTGGGATCAAAAGAGAAATCGTACTAGGATATATCTGGCATACAGCGTATTTGTATTAGTAGTTAGTTTATGTTAGTCCTTAGTTATGTTCATTCCCTCTATTTGCTATATGGTATTTCCACTTTTGTGATCTATTATGCATGCTATTCAGGGCCTTTGTTATTTTGTTTGGATGTGCAGTGAGATTACTCCTGAAGGAAGACGTATAACCAAGCTTGATCAGATTTTACTCAATGGAAACAATATTGCCATTGTAAGTTAAACATGGGTGTTCTTTATTTGCCTGGATGAAATAATTGAATTTCCGGTGAATATGCAAGTGATTGTTAGGTTTTCTTTGTCAAGTATAGTACTACACTTTTTGTAGCCTTTTTCTTTTCTCGCCTTATATTTGACAACCTACTCTTGTAACTATTTCTGCAAGCTCATGGTTTCTACTTGGCCTTTTCAATAGAAGCTAGAGCCAGCATAAAACATAGATGAAAGATTTCAAACTGTTGTTATAAATTGTCTAATGGTTTGTGCACAACGTCAATGCAGCTGGTCCCTGGCGGCTCACCTGAAGCGGAATGAGAGGGAACTCCGCACTCCGTTATTGAATGTTTGCATTACCTATGGTTCAGGGGAGATCGTTTATCTTTTTCATCGAGAACTGGGCCCCCCTGGATGCCCTTTATTTGCTCCACCCAGCACTCGTTGTTCTTCGTAGGTGACATGGTTGTAGGATAGTTAAGGATATGGTGGATTATGTTTCTTCTAGTCTGGAGTGGTATTGATTTTCCGAATACATTGACACAAGCCGGGCTTTATTCTGTATTGTTCACATATGTAATGGGACTCCAGTAACATTCTGCAATTGATGCAACAATTCCATTGCATTGTTTCCTCAATTGCCTTTTTCCTCTGATTCATATATACAGTTAGAAAGATAGATTTCAACGATCATTTTGGCCCCAGAAGAAAACAGGTCAGTGTGATACTACACAGCGCACACACCAATCCCACCTTTTCAGCCTTCTGTTTCTCTGCCTTTGTTTCCCAATTGCGCAGTTTTTTCATTGGGTTGGAGGTAGCAAAAACTCAGCCGATTTTTAGATAGCCAAAATTGGTGCTTACTCAGTCAGTGTATTGCTTTCTTGTGTAGATATCCAAATGTGATGCTCTCTCAAGGTCCCCACCCCTTTCCCTTTTTTTCCACTTCTCTTGACAGTGCTGCTCGGTCAATCCAAATACCACATTTGTACACTTTTGCATACAAGAGACGTCTGTTCAGATAGTGCTTTAACTTCACGCTGTCAGTCTGTTTATTATCCATTAAAATAAGTCAAATTGAATCGAAACCAAACCGAAAAAACTGAACAGAAAATAGATTTATACCATAGGATAAATTATTGGGCCCTCTTTGTAATTTCAAGTTTATTTGGTTGTTAAAAAGCGAAAATAAATTGTCAAAATTCATGAATATTGCTACGAAGCCCGCAGTAATTACAAGTAGAAAATAGGTCAATCCATTCTTTTAAAGTGAATAAACTCATAAAATTAGAGACGGATTGTTACACCATATTAATAATAATAAATTATTAAAAAAAGCAGAAAACCAAAAGATTTCAAACAAGAATTAAATATTCATCACCATACAACATTCTTCTTTAAGTATTAATTCCCAAATAAATTACACCAAGGAAGTAAAGAATGATATGCAAATGACATTTAAACCCCTAATGCACGCAATAGCTAGATGTAAAACACCAACGGCACCTAAAATGGCGTCTACATAAGTACAAGCCATGGTAGGGTTTGGGTAAACGTTAACTGATGCTGATCATCTTCTTGTTCTTGGTGTTTGGCGCTTTAGCCTTGTCGGTTGTGAAAACCGAAGAGAAAAATTGGACGACATCATCAAGAATCATTCGCTTCACTGACCTCCTCTTTGCTGGAATTACGCTCGCTGTCACACCTGCTTGCGGTTGGAAACAATAAGGTTGCTCATCAGGCTTCTTGTCTATTTTCTGAGATGTGTTCAATTTCATCAGCATCCCTTTTGGCTTTGCTTCTAAACTTGCCTTCGCTGACATCTCTCTCTGTCTCAGTGTGTGCTCATTGTGTGCTTGTGAACCGTACTTTTATGAGCTTAAATAAAGCAGCAAAGAAGGCAAGATGAAGAGAGACGTAGGCTCTTTTACATTTTGGTCGTGTATGTCAACGTCGGTACGCGAACGTATAAATTACGCGCTTTTAGTTTTATGGCATTAGAGGCCGCACCAAACCCCTGCCTGTGCCTGGTGCTAGCAACTCATGTTTGTATATTTTTTAAGTGTAGTGCTAACGATGTTGGAGATTTTAGGTAAAATTTCATTGTCCTATATTGGTCATAACAAAAAAATTCTTACTTTATAAGACTTTGTCCCTTACAAAAAGTGATTGGAGCGATGGACTATGAAGAATAAAATTGGGCTCAACCTTGAATTTAAGCATTGGGATGTATTAATTAATTGATAATTAATATATAATTAATATCAAAGGATGGGGATGTTGAGTGCACTAGTTGGAAAAATGTTTGCATCTAGAGTGCGTCATCTAGAGTGCGTCATCTATAGTGCGTCATCTATACGCACCGCCCTTTAGCGTCATCTATAAGCACCGCCCTTTACGTACAACATTTGATTTGTCTCCCGAGTTTAGTCTCTATCAAAATTTAAACGGAAGATAATATGGCGTTAATACTCGGAGTGTAACCCAATGTCTCTAACTAGAAACAACTCTAAAAACGTAATACTCGTTAGTTAAATAAACATGATTAACTTATTATTTCTTTAATGGTATAACCCTAATCTTCAAGTGTTTTTCTTTGTAGTATTTTGTTTATTCACAACAAGTGCACTACAAAAAAAAAAAAAAAAAAACCCTTTTCAAACGAAAGGTCAAATAAAGTTTCTTCGCCTAATGTTTTGTCTGACAGATATTCGTCGGGCAAAAGTCGTCGTTCAAACGTTTGCCTGACGTAAAATAAAATTTTGTTGGGTGAATACTATTTGCCCAATGAATTATCGACGACTATTTTGTTGCATGAAGTGCCTTGACCAACTTGACTCGACGAACCTAACTTGTCCGATTATCGTATTTTTGTCATCTCTTGCATGTACAGTCAAAAGTTATCCTTCCGTTGGCGCATTACTTCATTCCGAGCTTTTTCTTGCTGGTTCGCAACATCTTCTTGATGGCGCATGGCCTCTAACTCCATCTCCAACTACTACATTCTGGAAGACGACCACTTGCAGGCTAAGAGCTAGATGAAGAAGATCTCTCGAGGTCTCGAACTCGACTAGATCTTAGGCCACGAAACTCTCGGCCTTCTGTTACCCACCCCTATCTATGAGCAACTATAGAGACACATCTGGATCTAGTGTTAGCTGCTCCATTGGCGTGTCCGGTTGCTGCTGAGAGAGGTTGGCGAAGTACTCATCATTATTCTGCAATATAGAAGCCTAAAAAAAAAAAAAAAAAAAAACAAGAGAAACCAATTAAGATTATTGATCATAATTTTATAAAATTGAAGTGTAATGAAATTTAAGTAGAATTTCATTGTCCTACATTGGTTACTACCAAAAAGTTCCCTCATTTTATAAGGCTTTGTCCCTTATAGAAAGTGATTAGAGTGATGGACCATGAAGAATAAAATTGGGCTCATCCTTGAGTTTGAGTTTTGGGGTGTACTAATCAATTGATAATTAATATATAATTAATTATCAAAAGATGGGCATTGGGCTTTGGGGTTCGGACTCTAATAATTAAATTCCTTAATTAATTATTTTTAATTAATTTCAGATTTAATTAATTAATATCTTTTACCAACATACTCATCTTTTTAGATGAAGTCTGAAGTGTGGTGAAAGAACGCAGAGAGCAAACACCTTTCTAAGAAGATGTCTCCCAACAGATGCATCCCTTCTTCATGCCTGTTGCGAACATGCATAATCCTATTATATATACATTCATCTGCATGACATTTAGAACACAGAAAAACATAATTCTCCTTCTACAATCCAAAAAGCATTCTTACTGAGAGAACCACAAAGAAATTTGCTAGAAGTTAAGTTTTCGGTGCTAGAATTATGACTTGATCGTTGAATCTTGGTGAGCAGACGTCTGTAGAACTATAAGCACTGAGTAGGGGTGGAATATCTGTTTCAAGGACATTGCGGTACGCAAGCCTCGATCATCAATTTATCTGTTTAATATTATTTTGTTGTTCATACTCTATTAGGTTAGTTGTTCGCATTTATTATATATTAGCATCTATAAATTTATCATTGATTGTTGATATTTATCCAACAATCTTGAAACAAATAATGGATCAACAATCATTGACTGTGAATGACACTGTGAAATCCCGTTCCTGGATTTCACTATTGTAATCTACGTATTTGTATTATTGAGATTTTATATTAATTTATTTGAATTGAGGTTTTAATTAAAGTAGTAATGAGGAAGTTTGAAGTTTGGAAATTAATTATTTAAATTTCGTAGACCTTTCGAGGGCATAAATTATATTTTTGAATAAAGCTCGATCTCACGAACGCGTAGGCGAAAACCGTTCGTGAAATGGATTTTTAACGAAGAAATTAGAGATGTTTTAGTTGTTGGGAAATAAATAAATAAATAAATGTTTAAAAGCTGCCAAGTGGCAGCAAGGGAGATGGGAGAAAAGAGAGAGTGCGGGAGAGAAAAGGGGGAGTAGCCCAATCAGATGGCAGAGCAAGGAGGGGAAAGGAGAGAGGAAGAAAGGGGGGAAATGGGTTGACCCGCATTCCCCATCGAACCTGCTTGATTTTCGGACCATTTTTCGTCGATTTTCCGGTGATCCACACCTCATCATCACCTACAAACACCATCCCGCTTCTTCTCCGTCATTGATCATTAAATATTCGATGGGATTAGGCTCGTTTTGGGGTGTACGATGGCGAAGGCACCGTGAGGTGCTTGGTGATAATCCGCCAAATTTGTATGAAATTCTATCGATCTCAACCACCCTTAGACTCCCCATGAGCCCTGGAACAAAGCTCAATCATCTATAGGGGCGGCGGAACACCGAGGAAGGAGAATCGAAGCTTACCAATTCTAGGGTTTCCGGCGGGTTTGAGTGAAATTGGTGCCTTTCCCGGCCAAATTGGCCTTGGTCACATGTATGAAACTTGCTCTACTTATTGAGATCTTCATTTCTGTAAAATTTAGTAATTTTTAAAAATAGTTGAATTTTCCGGTGAGTTGTGGCGGCCGGCCGCCGTGTGAGGCGGTGGACCGATAATGTCTTTTTAAGTCTAATTAGATGAGCTAAATTCATAATTGATATCCGTATAAAGTGATTTGATTGTTTGAACTTAGTTTCATTACGATACATCACTTGATCAAAATTTGAATCGACGATCCGACCGTTGGATCCTCACCAAATTTTAATGCATTATAGAACATAATATTTGAAGATAGTTGGAACTGATGGATCGGGAATCCAACGTACGGATCTTCCTAAATTGGATTTCTAAGTTAGAAAAATTAATTGTTAACTATCACCTAATTTTAGCAATTGGTGGAGATCCGGCCGTTGGATCTCGATGAGAAATTAGTATGTTGTTCTATGAGAATAATGAGGACCCTAAGAAGTTATGGATCCAAAATCCGATGGGCGGATCTTTTGGATTGAATTACGTGGAGTTGCGAATCCTATTGTTGACCGAAAGTTGACTTTTGGTCAACATGTCCCGAAATGTTTTGGATGCTAAAATTGGTACTACGGGAGACTAAGTGAAGTCTAGTGGACCCACATTGGTTAAAGAGTGACTTAAGTATATGGGGTAGGGTTATTACCTTAAATTCTTATATTAGTATCCGTTGT